GGCCGCCGCCGCCGCCGCCGCCGCTGCCGCCGCCGCCGCCGCCGCCGCGCACCTCCCGTCCATGGCCGGGGGCCAGCAGCCGCCGCCGCAGAGCCTGCTCTACTCGCAGCCCGGGGGCTTCACGGTGAACGGCATGCTGAGCGCGCCCCCGGGGCCGGGCGGGGGCGGCGGCGGCGGCGCGGGCGGAGGCGCCCAGAGCCTGGTGCACCCGGGGCTGGTGCGCGGGGACACTCCCGACCTGGCCGAGCACCACCATCACCACCACCACCACGCGCACGCGCACCCGCCGCACCCGCACCACGCGCAGGGACCCCCGCACCACGGCGGCGGCGGCGGCGGCGGCGCGGGGCCCGGACTCAACAGCCACGACCCGCACTCGGACGAGGACACGCCGACGTCCGACGACCTGGAGCAGTTCGCCAAGCAGTTCAAGCAGCGGCGCATCAAGCTGGGCTTCACGCAGGCCGACGTGGGGCTGGCGCTGGGCACCCTGTACGGCAACGTGTTCTCGCAGACCACCATCTGCCGCTTCGAGGCCCTGCAGCTGAGCTTCAAAAACATGTGCAAGCTCAAGCCGCTGCTGAACAAGTGGCTGGAGGAGGCGGACTCGAGCACCGGCAGCCCCACGAGCATCGACAAGATCGCGGCGCAGGGCCGCAAGCGCAAGAAGCGGACCTCCATCGAGGTGAGCGTCAAGGGCGCGCTCGAGAGCCACTTCCTCAAGTGCCCCAAGCCCTCTGCGCAGGAGATCACCAACCTGGCCGACAGCCTGCAGCTCGAGAAGGAGGTGGTGCGGGTCTGGTTCTGCAACCGGCGCCAGAAGGAGAAGCGCATGACGCCGCCTGGGATCCAGCAGCAGACGCCTGACGACGTCTACTCGCAGGTGGGCACCGTGAGCGCCGACACGCCGCCGCCGCACCACGGGCTGCAGACAAGCGTGCAGTGAAGGCCCGGGCGCAGCGCGGAGCGGGCCGCCGCCGCCGCCGCCGCCGCCGCCGCCGCGGCCGGGTGGGCCGGGCCGCCCTCCCCTCCTCCCAAAGACAGGCCTGCCCGCCCTCGGGGGGAAAAGAGAGGGACGCACCAAGGAGACGTTGTTTGAAGTCCAAGGAAGGAGGGGCGAAACAAACGAACACGCAAAGCCTAGAAAGGCCCAGACTGTTTGATATACACGACCGTGGCAAAACCGGAAGGAAAAGGGGGCGATCGTGCGATCTCGTTTCTACTCTGGTGGGGGTTCTTTGGGGGCTTCTTTTTAAAGAAGGGTGAAGATGCCTAGCGCCCCAAAACTGCGCTCGCGAGGCTTTTCCCACCCTGAGAAGTCCTACGGGGCGACGGTGGAGAGCACTTAGCACCTGCCTCGTCCTATCCTCTTAAAAAAAAACAAACATTTGTTTTAAAAAAAGCATCCCCCCTCCCTCCCACCTCCTCCCTCCAAAGGGCCGCCCCCCCCCCCACCCTCGCCTCGAGAGAGCCATCGAAACTTGGTTTCCTGGGAGCGACCAGAAAGCAGGCAGAGGCACCGGGTTTAATCAGGGGTGACTCTGTGCTCCCGGACCCTGTTATTCTTGTCCATATCAAAGTCATTTGGGGACAAACAAATTGACTATGAAACGGGAAGGAGAAAAAAAAGAACAATCTCTGGAAAACAAGAAATATATATATATACATATATGTATTCACAGCTTCTGAAATTAACAGACTGATAGCAAAGCCAAAAGAAAAAGAATACGTATCCTCAAAGTAACCTTGGAAATAAAAGCATCTCGAAAGAGCAGAGGGATGGGCGAGGGAGCAGGGGATGTCCAGCGGCCAGTGGGAGAGGCCCCGGCGAATCCGGGCGCGGGCGGGCGGACTGGGCGCGGAGCGAGGCCCGGCATCCAACCCCGGCTTATCGGCCGCCGCTCGGATGGGTGGACGACGCCTAAAGATGCCACCGCTAATATTTTTTTTATTAATATTTTTTATTTTTTATTTCTGGACTGACTCAGATCAAGGGATTTAGAAAGACAGCACTTCTCCGGACTCCTCTCCTCAATCCGTTGCCAACTTTGATTGAATGGGTGCTGTGGATGTGATTATATAATACTGCCCTTTCCAAGCAGTGTTTTTGGTAGGTTTTAATAAACAGACTTTTCAAAAGACGGCAATATAGAATTGTTAGATCCGTTGTTGATCTAAAAATATTTGCTTTATATTTTCATTAAATGACTTCTTTTAATATTTTATTCAGAATACTTATGAACTGCTGCAAAACGGTAATTTATTTTTCCCCAGATCTTGTATTACGTGTTTTTTTCAGACGAGCACAAATCAAAATGAAATGAAAATATGGACAGTTGCTAGGTAATAAGGGTATCTTTTGATGTGATCATTTGATTGTAATTTAATTTGAGTAGTGATTCCATAAGAGCTGATCGAGAAAATAAATTTGTTAGAATGAAATAGTCTGTGTCTGATGCATAAACACTGTGTGGGAAGAAAAGAGTCCTTTAGAAAATATTTTTTTACAATGCAAATCCTGAAGGGATAGAGCTGAGGAAGCCGTCTGCTCCACCTAAGGTACATTTGCAAATCTAGAATAAAAGGCAATGACAGAAACCGCTAGTAACTGACCACGTAGTCACTCCTTGTTAGTCTGTTAATTTCGCAAAATTTGTCCCTCCCTTAATTTGAGTGGGTGTTTTTAGTGTTTTTAGGTGAGATTGTCTAAATGCTAGTCCTTTTCTCAGAGATACCTGTGTCCTTTATCAGAATGTTGGACTACATCCCCAGTAAAAACGTGCCAACTGGTTATTAATGGTGAACAGAGTCCCTCACCACCACCACCAAAGTTTAGCCTCTCTTTTCCCTCTCATCTCCCCTCCCCCACCATATTGCTACATCTCTTTCCTCTTTTTTCTGAAGACTAATAGTGGTAAAGGATAGCTTACAAGTCGATGAAATATTTTTATATCAGTTACTTCCCATTAATAACTATATGTAATTAAGTTTAAATTATTAAGCCGTTTGGGGGGGTTGTTTTGTTTGTTTTCTCTATAATATGGGAGAATGCAGTTCTAAAGCCCTCATTGTGGACCACACTGCATTACCCTCAGTGTGATCACCAGCTCAGACTTAAGATTCTACATTTTTTCTGTGTTTCCGTCTTTCCCCAGTATGATTCTATATTTTCTTTACCGGTGCTGGGGGTTTTCACTTTTTGATCACTCTTTAGATACACCCTGCAGAGCGGTCACATTTATCAAGTTAATGTATCAATATTTACAACGTGGGAAAATGAAAGTGTAATGCCTTAGGTTGTAAGAAACAAGACGCAAAAGGCTCTGCTTCCTTGAGTCCCTTCGTATTGTACTTAAAAAAAAAAAAAAGTATTTGGGGGTGATAAAGCAATGATTTTGTAGATTAGTTTCCCCCTAATCTCATTGAGCTGTCACTCACTTTTTGCGTCTTCTCTCATCTTTACTCCCTCTCCCTGTGATATCAGTGCAGGGGTTAAAAAACCCGGAAAACTGTGAGAGCAACAAGGAGCAGTTATTTCTTCCAGACAGACCCTGTGTCACTTTCATAAATCAGGCCCAGCCAGATGGCCGTGTATTGGGTTGCATTATTTTAAACACCAAATCGTACTAAAAATCACAATCATTTTGATTTGTGAAATCTGAAAAAGGCCATATTTATTAAACAGAGAGCAGGGAAAAAATGAAAACAAGAAACCACAATTTACTTTTCTTTGCCTTCTCGTTTCCTATTTGTCTTGCTATTGTAATCTCTTTGCCCAGCAAATTTACAACCTGGAGTGGGGGGGTGGTGACAAACTTTATCATTTTTTGAGGGTCTACAGGGGCAAGCACGGAAGGCCTTATTGGAAAGCTGAGGATTGGGGTGTGGTTGTTTTTATAGGGTGGATGCTACTGGCGCGTGAGATGAAAACCTGTGTTCCCTACAGGACTGGTAGTGCTTGATCAGACAGAGAATGGGTCTATTTCAAATGTTAGGAGGCATTTGCTTACTTGATTCGGCTGACAACAAAAGGACTAACATTGGATTTCACCCTGTTTTCTATTAAAAAGTATCCTTTGCTGTTTACTTTGGAGGAAGCTCTGATTTAGAGGTAGCAGAGTAACTTAGAGCAGCTGGGAAAGCTGGCCCATTTTATTCCATTATTTTGTATTTTTTTAAAGTGAGCTCATGCTTGCACTCCATATTTTTTTTAAAAAAATCAACCCTTTGAATGTATTTACAAAATGAAATTCATGGTTGCAAAACAAGTGAGGGCAGATACAACTGAGAGGTTTTGTGCTAAGGCTTATATTGTTACACATGTAAATAATGAAAATATTGTTATATATCACCAGATCTTTTTAATGAATTTGGTCATTGTGTTCCTTTGTAGCGCAAGTGTCTTGTGCTTCGTCAAGTGTTCGTTTGTTTCCTCCATTTCAGCCCACCCCCTCCTCCCCTTCCAACTCAGAGGAAAGTGACAAAGTTCTGTTCCATCAATCTGGCTAATCCCAAGCTAGGCCCATTTATAGTTTGCAGTCTCCCGTGGCTTCTGATCAGTTGTCCAAGCTACAGCCATCTCATTCACCCAACCGTCTTCCCCTGCAAGTCTGGGCGATAAATCATTCAAGGTGTATTTAAAATAGTCACTTTGTTGTTGTTGCTCTGCCTTTTTTTTTTTTTTCTTTTTCTTTTTTTTCTTTTTCTTTTTTTTCTTTAAATACTTAGCCAAGGACTAGTTCTTTGTTCCAAAACCGAACTATTCATTATTGATCTTAAAGATTCCCTTTGCTTCCCTGTAGCCCCCAGTGTACTCTCATTACCATGCTCATAATCTGTTTTGTATGAATGGTTTTCAACATTCAGAGAATAATCGGTTCTAATATTAAATGCAGTCTATGCTATTGATAGTTTTATCGATAAGTGTAATATTTTAAATAATTTTAACAATTAAATTTGTTTTTTAAATTATATATTTGTAAAGTATTTATCCTGTTGGAAGCAACAATATATTGTTGTATTTATTCGTTTATTTTTGTAATAAATGATCAACCTCTTCAAGCTAAATCAAAAATGACACTTTTATATATTTATACAAAATGCATTTTAAGAGATGGCCATATTTGCACCAATTTGTATGTAAATAGAGTAAAGATCCATCATTAACTTGTAGCTTTCAGAACTAAATTGAAGGAAGAAACATTCTCTCCACACTGAGTTTGGTTTGCCCAAGTTCCAGGGTAATTAATCAAACTCTAAAATGGATGCAACAAGTATTGGCACTGGATGCAGACTTGAAATTAATTATTTAGGAGGTGGACCTGGTTTTTTTCAAGGCAGAAGGATAGAAATGAGAGAATCCACTTCTTTCATGAATTGCACATGGCTGACTGGACCTATTAGAACAGATGCTATGTAGCAGTGATAAAACCTAGTACCTGGCTGTGCTCAGATGTCTGTGGTGGGGAAGGGTGTGGAAGGAGAGTTAAAACTTTGAAGTTATCGGTGACCCAGAAGCAAGGTGATATGGAAAAAGAGTTGTGCTATGGTTTTTTGAAAAAGTAGACCCTCTTAAAATGGCTCTGAGCGAAGAATGGCTCTCTCCTGGTCCTGTTACAGCGGAAGCAATCAGTGCAGGTGTAGTGATGGTGGTCGTGGTCGTGGTCGTTGTTGTGGTTGAGAGTGATACTTGTAGGAACCGTAGGGGTCACCTCTCCAGCTTTGCAAATTCTGTAGGTCACTTGGTCATCTCAGTTCCTCAGAGCGGCTGTTCCGAGGGCCCGAAGGTCACCCACGTGACCTCCCGGCTGATGGAGCCCCACCGTGGGCTTGATCTTGATTTCAGTGAGGAAATCGGAGGGCTCTGGGTTTGCCTCCTGGACTTTCCAACCTAGCAAAGGAAGCGGCGGGGAGGCTGGAGGAGACGGGTGTGGGCGGGGCGGCGGA